ACATATTGTATATTTTTGGCAATAACACTTAACTTAAATCAAACTCATCATTTCATGTGAGAGGAGGCAGTGCCTCCATTGCACTATGATTGGTTTATGAATCTGTTCACATGCTAAATCTTCACACCTCTTGATTTTCTGAACATTCTGCGTCGTCAAATAATTCTGAATGAACTCTGTGTGAATGAATGGTGTTATTGGGAAGACTGATTAAAAAGTAAGTATACAACTTTGTCAAGTCAAAATCAAATCCAAAATGACTTGAAAACATGATCTGTGAGTTTTTATTGTGCAATCAGCTTAGTGAATCAAAGGTAAATCTCCTTGTCTGTGACCATCATGACACCTGTCGTGGTCTGAATGTAATAATCCGAATGATGATCTGAAAAGAAGTTGACTATTAAAAAGAACAACTACATTTTTGGTTCACAAAGAAAATGTAATCTGAAATTTGAAATGATAGCTGATTAAATGTAAAAATTCTTACAAAAACAGACTTGATGATAAATATACTTGGTATTAATAAACTTTAATTATTTTGTTCATGTTAAAAAAAGAAAATAATAATTGTAATATTGTAATATCTATTTAACCTGGATTAAAAAAAGTCACTAACAAAATACTTCTTGTACAACCAAATATTTTTGTGTCAAAATATTTAAGCAACACAATTTGCAAAATCATAGTTAATTATGTAAAAGTTTTCATGTGACTAACAGTGTTTCTCATCATGCAGCCGTAGTGAAGAATCCACCCAACAACATGTGGATCATCGCTGCAGTGCTAGCACCCATCGGTGTGGTGACCCTCATCATCATCATCATCACCACGGTGCTGTGTCACAAAAACAAGAGCGATTTCAAAAGCGATCCCATTGGAAACTTCAACCCTCGAGTCAAGGTACGGCAGTGACTGGATGAAAATCCTGCATTTGCCATAAGGCACCGCTCTTTAACTCTCTCATTATAACTCATTATGGTATTTTGTACACTCAGCATATTTTACAGTGACTTCATCAACAGTTTTCCTCAAACTCTTACATGCTTTGCTTGCTTTGCCTATGGGAATACATCCCAAGAGAGTGTATGAGAGAGAGATGGAAATGACTGATGACTCTTAATGTTGTTTTCTCTCATTTAGACTGCTTACTGGAAAGACGTGGGTTATTACCCTCAGGTAGTTATTCAGCTCTTCAATCATTTCACCTGCTGCTATGGACTCCTGATGTGCACACAGTCTTAAGGATGATGTGTAGAGTAGACAGGTCTCAGGGACAAGTACTAATGATCTTGCACAATTAAAGGGGTCATATGATGCTATTTTAAAGATCATTATTTTGTGTATTTGGTGTAACAGAATATGTTGACATGCTTTAATGTTAAAAAAACACATTATTTTTCAAATACTGTACATTATTGTAGGTCCTCTATGCCCCGCCTTTCTCAAACACGTCGTTTTCAATAAAGCCCCCTCCTCTGACACACGCAGTCTGCTCTGATTGGCCAGCTGACTCAGTGCATTGTGATTGGCCGAACACCACAAGCACGCGTCGGAAATGTAACGCCCCTTACCATAATCGCGAGCTTCAGCTTTCAAAGTAAATATCAAGACAGTTAATAATGTCATTAGTATTTGCTTTGTCTCCCTGACATGGCTGCATCAACACTACTGCTGTTCCTGAAATCACGCCTTCTTTCTTTGCGTGCTCATTTGGGCGGCATTATGCTAATATTTCCTCATAGTGACGTAGACATGTGGGGGCGTGTTAGAACGAGCCGTTTTAGGTAGGCGTGGTTGACTCTTAACTTTTATAAAGAATATCTCTTTGGATTTGAGACTTTAGTCTTTGCAACTTTACAGATCTTCTTTATGCACCAAGCGCTTGTAACACTCCAAAGAGAAAGGAAAACTTGAAATCGCATCATATGACCCCTTTAAAGGGTTTGTTCACCCAAAACAGTCAAATTATTTCGTTATTGACTCACCTGTGTGTCATTCCATGCATGTAAGACTATATTGTGGAACATGAAAGGAAATGTTTAGTGGAGTGTCCTGGCTGCTTTTTCCTTACAATGAAAGTGAATGGAGACAGGAATGTTTCAAAATGAACACTTCATGCTTTCATTGTATGGAGCAGCCTTGACATTCTACAAAGCATTAAGAAATTCATGCAGATTCTAAATGACATTATATATGATATTTACTGAATTGAACTATTTTTTTGTGTGAAATATTCCTAGCTAATATAAACATTGTTGAGTTATGTCAAAAGTATTTATTTTTCTAGATTAGGATCTGAATGTACCGTATGTGTGTGTACATGTGTGTGTGTGTGTGTGTGTGTGTGTGTGTGTGTGTCCCCAATTTAAAATAATCACATTTTGTTGCTTTGCAGCCTGAAATTAAGACGCACACAGTTTTTGTTTTATCTAGCTGTATTTACTCAGTACAGCTTATAACATCCAAGTGAAAGATATAACACCAACATGTCAGAAAAAAAGAATCACTGAGTTGGAAAAAGATCACCCCTTTGTGTCAGTATTTTTTTTAACCACATTTAGCTTTAATTGCAGCCTTTAAGGTAATGATACACGGGGCAACTTTTTGAGCAGTGTTGCTGGGAAATGTTTCTGTCAATGGGCAACCAGGTGAGACACAGGGCCCACACCAATCTAACATATCCAGATAGAAATTTGTTGCCCATTCTCAATGGTAAAGTGGCCAAGCAACATTGCTCAAAAAAGTTGCCCTGTAAAATCATCACCTTTAGTCTGTTGGGATATGTCTCTACTAACTTTACACTTTTAGACTTTGCAATATTTGCCCACTCTTCTTTGCAGAACTGCTCAAGTTCAGTTAAATTTGATGGTCACAGTTTGTGGACTGCAGTCTTCAAGCTATTCCACAGATTTTCAATGGGGTTTAAGTCTGGGCTCTGACTAGGCCATGCAAGGACATTTAACTTTTTCTCCTTCAACCACTGTGTGCTCAGTTTTACTGTGTGCTTTGGGTCATTGTCATGTTGGAAGGTAAATCTTCTTCCCGTTGACAACGTTCTGGCAGAGGGCAGCATATTTCCCTCAAGAATTTGATTGTATTTTGCCCCATATATTTTTCCTTCTATCCTGACAATTGCTTCAGTCTCTGCTGCATAGAAACACCTATAACAGGATATTACCACCTCCGTGCTTTACTGTAGGAATGGTGTTATTTGGATGGTGAGCTATATTGGATTTACGCTAGACATATAGTTTGGTGTTGAGGCCAAATAATTCAAGTCTCATATAAGTCATCTCATATAAGTCTTAAATAATTTAGTCTCATCTGCCTCAGAATCTTCAAGGTGCATTTTGGCAAAGCTCAGTCGTGACTGCCTATGGCCTTTCTTGAGGAGTGGCTTGTTTCTTGCAACCCTCCTATACAAGCCACATTTGTGGAGAATTGTGGAGATGTTGTCACATGCACACAATGACCACTCTTTGTCATAAATTCCTGCAGCTGCTTCAGAGTTGCTGTAGGCCTCTCTGAACAGTTTCCTCCTGGCTCCTTCATCCAGTTTGGAGTGATGTCCTGATCCAGGGAGGGTCTGTCTGTCAGGGCTCAGGTTTGATCGACCTCTCTTCTCTCCTGCATTAGGCTTTGTTTTTGTTTGCATGTGCTAGCCACACTCAGCTGATTGCGTTTCACAATCAGCGCGGTCGTGCACGCTCTCGCAGCTGTTTGTCATTTTCTTATTAATTTTCTTCTTAAGTCTCTTGTTTTTACTCTTTTCTTGGCCAGTGTGTTTTATTACTTATGCTTCACTCGCACCTTTTGCTTTGATTTTCTTTTAGTCACAAGTATTGTTTTTTTATTCTTTTATTTTTATTTAGTTAATTCTGTTTCTGTCCGGTCTGTTTGCACTTACTGCCCAGCGGCTTGCCCTCATTTCGCTTTGGACTGTGACCTTGTTGTTTAGAGGGAACATGGTAATTGACCCTCGCCTGTCCCTGACTTCGATGCGTTACTATCCATTGTGCAGCCACTCGCCTGGTGTTTGATCTCCACTCAACAGATTACGTGCTGTGGCTTTCTTGGACTTTGTTTGCTGGTCGGACTGTTCTCTCGTTTCCTGGTCCTTGTCTGGATATTGATCCTCCTCACTATTTTCCTGCTGATCCAGGGTTTGGCGGCTCATCTTTGGCGGCTCAGTTCACCTTCTATACTAAAAGTTTTGTTGGAGCATCTAATTGCATTTGGGTCTTTTATTACAGAGAGTCATGCCACTGTGTTGCACCAAATACCTTCCACTTCTTAATAATAGACTTCACTGTGCTTACAGGCATTGATAAAGCCCTTGACATTTTTTTTGTATATCCTGACTTGTGCCTCTCCACAACTTTATCCAGGAGATCTTTTTACAGTGCCTTGCCACCCATAGTTGATTGTTTGCTTCAGTTGCGCTACCAAGGACTGAAATGCTCCAGGAAAGCTCTTTTCATGCTGAACTAATCAGAATGACCACAGCAGATCACAGTTGAAAGTCAAATGGCTTTGTGTGCCATTGAGAAGGTGATTAGCTACACCTGATTGAGTTTACAAGTCATTTTTAGGAGGGGGAGTGATCCTTTTTCCAACTCAGTGATTCTGTTTTTTTTATTTAATTTTATTCTGACATGTTGGTGTTATATCGTTCACTTGGATGTTACAAGTTTCACTGAGTAAATATAGCTGGATAAAACAAAAGTGTGTCCGTCTTCATTTCAGGCTGCAAAGCAACAGAATGTGATTACTTTAAAGGGGGTGTTTATTTTCTATTCCCACTGTATGTGAAATCATCCTCAATTTAATAAATTCATTAATATCCACTAAATTCCCCAAGACTACTTTAATCAGAAGTATCATCTTCAAGTCCCTCCATTGCCAAATATGTTTACCTTCATTAGATCTAAGGATTATATTAATGTGAACTTTTGAACTTTCCTTGATCTAATCTAATGCAGTCAGATTGTTTCAGTCATACTAAATGAATTCTTACATTTTTTGTGACGTACTTATTGCACTTGAAACCATTAATGTTCACAGGATCCTAACACATTTTATTTGAATGGAGCAGTCATGTTTCTGACAGCACATATATGTTTCATGAAATATATAGTCAAAACATTTGTCCAAAGGAATGTACAACCAGATCATTGGTTTGGTAGCAAAACACAAAACAAAACAAAACGTTATCTGTCTCAAATTGATGTTTTATGGAAACCCCATTATGCACTGTAAAAAGTGGTAACCTGCAAAAAGTGGCTTACTATAAAGAGCTGTCTATACCTGATGCAACCCCATTTATTTAAATATTTTTAACTGGTCAAAAATATTTATTTTAATATTTTTGACCAGTTAATTTAGATGTTACCATTTTTGAATGTGTACAGTGTATAAGAATAACCTTCATATCTGTAATCAAATATGTGAATGTTTGCTCATTGCTTAGCCTATTCAGGGGTTTGACTATGCCAAGCAACACCTGGGTCAGCAGGGTGGTGATGAGGAGACCCTCTCGGTTACCCAGGAGACTATGATTCTGCCCCACCCCATTCGAGATGCCCCTCTGTCCCTAGATAAGCCTGCACGCCAAGATGGATCCACTTCCAAGAAGAGCCTGAACAGTGAGATAAGGAAAAGGTATGTGTGAAGAAACCTAACACTTATGGAATGCTGTAAACCTGCAAAAAGTGGCTTACTATAAAGAGGTGTCTATACCTGATGCAACCCCATTTATTTAAATATTTTTAACTGGTCAAAAATATTTATTTAAATATTTTTGACCAGTTAATTTAGATGTTACCATTTTTGAATGTGTACAGTGTATAAGAATAACCTTCATATCTGTAATCAAATATGTGAATGTTTGCTCATTGCTTAGCCTATTCAGGGGTTTGACTATGCCAAGCAACACCTGGGTCAGCAGGGTGGTGATGAGGAGACCCTCTCGGTTACCCAGGAGACTATGATTCTGCCCCACCCCATTCGAGATGCCCCTCTGTCCCTAGATAAGCCTGCACGCCAAGATGGATCCACTTCCAAGAAGAGCCTGAACAGTGAGATAAGGAAAAGGTATGTGTGAAGAAACCTAACACTTATGGAATGCTGTAAATACTCAGTATTCATGTCACAGCCCTAACAGTAATGCTGTCATTTGCTGTTATTTGGCACAGGCCCACAAGACTACTTGTCATGGAAGACATAAGCTAGAGGCGCTAAATAGTGTTCAAGAGAGGGTGAGATAATGGATATATTGACAGAGACTTGTTTGATAATTGCTTTTTAAATACAACCAATGCTCAGTATGTCAGTATGATCTTAACACTGTGTTAATGAGATCACTGGCCTCTTAAAAGTCTGTCTGATAGTTAAGGTGACTGACTTAATGATTTTCATATGGTTGGATGAGCATACTGTAGCTTTCAGTTAGTTTCATGGAGGAGTGTGATATAAAAGGATCTCGCTTCAAACTGTCAAACTGTTTGATTTAAGTGGATATGTTCTTGATTTAGACCATTTATCTCTGAAAAAGTTGATATAATTTCTGGAGAAATGCATTCCACTCAGGTTCAGCTGAATTATATATGTAAATCATGAACTACACTACTCATAAAAAGTTTGGATAATAAGATTTTTGTTTTAATATTTTTGAAACAAGTTGCTTATGCTCAACAAGGGTGCATACAAAAGAACTGTTTTTGATTTTAACATATTTTAAATGTTACTTATTCATATGATGCAAAGCTGAATTTTCAGCAGCCATTACTTTTCAGTATCATATGATCCTTCAGAAATCATTCTAATATGCAAATTTGGTGTTAAGGAAATATTGCTTATTATTATTAACTAATTAGGTTTTTGCTGCATCATATTTTGGGGTAATATTAAGTTTTCACAATATTATGTTCTTACTTTTGATCAAATCATTTCAGTTTTGGTTTGTATAAGACACTTCTTTCAAAAACATTAAAACATTTCTAATTATCTCCAACTTTTGACCAGAAGTACATGTCATAGAAGGACTCAATTTAGTAGCTCTTTCACCGACTTGAATAGGAAATACTAAATCATATAATCATACAATCAATAAAGTTATGTAAGAAGACAGCGAGTGAGGGAAGCATGAACAAAGAGAAGGACAGACTTATCTTCAGAAAGAAGAATAAGCATATGCTCACAGCAATAAGAGGGTTGCTGAATTCAGAGTGACCGTACTGAGCACACAGCTATTTGCACAAACATATTATAAATTAATTTGTATCACAATACACACACACACACACACACACACACACACACCAGTATATATTAAATGATAATTAACAATGTGGGAATCCGACAGCAATAATATCATACAATACATCCAAAACTGCATATATATATTTGCATATATTTTTCCCCCTCTCTATAGAATTTCCTCAATATGTTTCATACAATGTGGCGGTTTCCCTGACAGAGATTAAGCCTAGTCCTAAACTAAAATGACCCTTTAAACCAGATTAACAGAAAATAAATCTGCACTGTTAATCATTTTTAATCATTTTGACACACACACACACACACACACACACACACACAAACTTTCACTGAAGTAAAACACATAGGGAATCTCTCTCTCACTGTCAACACCTGATTGCAAGAATATATTTCCAGGCAATCCTTTTCTTTTATTCCACACCTGATGCGTGCAGTTTATTTTGCTTGCTTTTATTTTGCTTGCTTTAAAAAGTTTCCTCTTGTTCAGTAAAGTTTTTTTTAATGTTTGATTGCAGTCCTTTTTCTGCTGCCAATGTTTTCCTTAGATTTGCTTTCTGCTTCTTGGTTCATTCCATGTTTTATAGACAACATTTGTCATGCTAATTCAGATTAGCACAGCTGGTTTTAAATTAATCTAATTTATTTTAGTTAATGGCTCCATAGTCCAGGATTTAGTTATCTGTATGTTATCTGTGTTTCAGAAAGCCATTTTTAAAGCCATGATTAACTATTCTAGAATGTCTGAATTGACTAATAAAATGTTCACAATCAAATCCAATCAATATTCTAGTTTTAGCACCACAGTGATTTGGTACAAGTAAATGTGTGTATCTGTTTGATTGTGTGTCCTTGGATTTATATGTATGTGTTTGAGATGAGAATGCAGACAAAGAAAATGACATAACCATCCTCTAATTTCACACATGCACCGACTCACTGCTGCTCCTTGTTGCTATGGTTACTTGCAGTAGGTTGCCGAGTGAGGATGGTTCCGTCATCAACAGCGAATCAGTGAAAGAGGTCTCGGGAAAGGGCTCGAGTGTGCAAAAAGCCACAGTGCAGCAGAAACTCACGAAGAAGGAGACGAGGAAGAGTAATGGTGAGAAATGCCTTCACAGTTTCAGCACTTTAGTACTTGTGCTGTCAGGCCATAAGACATCCATGAAATTAACGTTCTTTTTCCAAAATGTCCTATTCTCATAAAGAAAATACAAGCACTCTGTTCCAAAAACCTAATGAGCTGCCTCCAGTATAAAGCCATTTCTAAAGTGTGCATAATATTTTCAGTCAAATTCTTAAATTGAATCAGTCAATTAGAATAATAAGTCATTTGGGCTGTTACCAGGCAAATTAAATCAGTATTGACTAAATTAATCTTTGCAATGCAGAGAAAACACAGAAGCTGCATTAGAAGGGGCATTTAGATGCATTTACACACTGTTTAATGCAGGACATTAATGTTTTAACCTGCAATTACAAATGCATTAATACTGTTTTGATATTTTAAACATAAAACATTGATACAGATATTTGAAATTATTAAAAAAAATGAAAATCTACTTTAAATGTGAAATTAAAACTGCCAGTAGGTGTCAGCAAGTCAGTGTTAATAAGTTAATGTTGACTTAACATTAACAGTTAACTGTTAATGTTGAAGCCCTAAGACTGGCAAGAGCGGATTCCAAATCTTCAATACTTATCTTGTTGGATCTGTCCGCTGCTTTTGATAGTTAACCACCAGATCCTCCTGTCAACCCTATTGGCAAAGGGCATCTCAGGAACCGCACTCTAGGGGTTTGAGTCTTACCTATCAGATAGGTCCTTCAAAGTATCTTGGAGAGGTGAGGTGTCCAAGTCGCAACATCTAACTACTGGGGTGCCTCAGGGCTCAGTTCTTGGACCACTTCTCTTCTCTGTCTACATGGCATCGTTAGGTTATGTCGTTCAGAAACATGGCTTTTCATACCACCGCTATGCTGATGACACTCAACTCTACCTCTTATTCCATCCTGATGATCCGAAGATAGCTGCTTGCATCTCAGCTTGTCTAACAGACATTTCTTGCTGGATGAAGGACCATCACCTTCAACTAAACCTTGCCAAGACAGAACTGCTTGTGGTTCCAGCAAACCCATCGTTTCATCACAATTTCACCATCCAGTTAGGCACATCAACCATAAATCCTTCAAAAACAGCCAGAAATCTTGGAGTTATGATTGATGATCAGCTGACTTTCTCAGACCACATTGCTAAAACTGTCCGGTCCTGCAGATTTGCTTTATTCAACATCAAGAAAAGCAGGCCTTTTCTATCGGAACATGCTTCACAACTCCATGTTCATGCTCTTGTTCTGTCCAGGCTGTACTATTGCAGAAGCACAAAATCACTTTCACAGACTTTTACATTAACTGTTCCCTCCTGGTGGAATGACCTGCCCAACTCAATCCGAGCAGCTGAGTCCTTAGCCATCTTCAAAAATCGGCTAAAAACACATCTCTTCCATCTTTATTCTAGCCTCTATCTCTAGCACTCTCTATTCTAATTCTATTCTTAAAGAAAAAAAAACACTTGTCCCTTTTAGACTTGCACTTTATTCCTTTGTTGCTTGTTTTCTTTAAAAAACAAAACAAAACCAACACTGTCTTTTTAATCTTTTTGTATTCTATCTGTTTTCTTTTTATTTACTATACTATTAACAAAAGCAAAAAAAGGCCTCTAACACTAGCTTGCTCTATTCTTTTTATATTCTGTTTTCTTTTTATTTATTATATAATTTAAAAAAAAAAATAGTACTGCGTGTAGCTAGTTGAGCCTAGTGAGAGGTGTGAGTCCGGGTGTTGTTGTTCTGTGTCTGTGATCTGATCAGCGAGTTTCTGTAAAGCGGAGCTCACGTGCGCTTGCGGAGGAATGTAGGCATTGACGAGAATGAATGAGCAAAACTCCCGCGGCGAATAGAACGGCTTGCAGTTAATGAAGAGCACTTCTAGATCTGAACAGCACATCTTCTTTAACACAGTTACATATGTACACCACTTCTCACTGATATAAAAGCGTGTCCCGCCACCACGTGATTTCCCCGTTGATTCTGCCTCGCGATCCGCTGCCTGAGCTAGACGAGGGCGCCGGCTCGCTTCCCCCATCTGCGCATCCTGAAGCGCTTGATCAGCGCCACAGCTCCCCCAACTACAATGTCCAGCAAAACATCAGAATAGTCAAAAACCAAAATAGTCAATATCGGGTGGTGTGTACTTCCGAATGTCCAGCAATTCGTCTCTGGTGAAACTGATTGCAGGGATATAACTAAAGACAGGACAAACATTATGTAAGCACACTAAACATTGCCAAAAGTGCATCTACATGTGTTCAGCTTACGAGTGGTTAATCATAAATATGTATTAATTATATAATTTAAGAGAACTTAAGAGATTAATTATATAATTTAAGAGGACTTTATATGAAGTATCTTAAACTACTATGTACTGAAATTTAAATTAATCATTTGATTCGGTGAACTTATTGTGAACGTACATGTTTTTACATTGTACATATATTCTAAAATACCTGCATGTAATTATATCTGCAGTTAGTTTCTGTGATTACATCTATAATTACAGCTATGACCCTACATTTACCCCTTAACCCACCAAACCTGTCTCTAACTTTAACTGTACCCCACCTCAGTAACAGTAATGCTTTGCAATACAACATTAACAAAATAAGTACATTGTACCCAACAAATAGTATTTTTTGACATAAATATATAGTAGTTAAAGATACCTAATTTAAAGTGTGACTGCTATGACCCAGAATCTGCTCTACCTACATTTATAGTCACTAGCCGCTACTGATTATATGCATCCTAAATATGTACAATTAAATATGATTTTTAAAATTATTGCACAATTTACTAATTTAACAAAACACACATAAGTGATAATTACCTTTATACATCACATATTTTATTCCAGTGCTCTTTAATGACACTGTTAATTTCATGTCAAATTACGACCAGGGGTATAATGAACAAAACTGCTAAAGTAACATTGTCAACAACATATTGGCTGGCATTTTCTATCTATTTCTTTACGGAGTCAGTTATGTTAACAGTTGTTCCTTTCTCACACTGAGGGACAGAATGAAATGTATTCACTAATGTAGTGAAACCTATCGAATAACATCTTATGAGCTGGACCTTAATGGAAGCATATAAAAAGTCCTCACTAGCTTCTAAAGTAAGTGTGTGTTTGGGTGCAGTGTGAGGTTGTATGGTGTCTCCCTGCACTGAAAATGAGTTTTTAACTAAAGCCCTTTTTACCAGATGACCATCCTCAGAAGGAAAATAGTGATCGAGTTCATGAATGTTAATGAACCTTCTCATCTGACATGATCTGCTCTGTCACTGTGACTACCAGCATCACAGAGGAGCAACAGGGTCACACGCACATTTTTGCAGACACACGCATCCCAAAAGGCATACTGACAGACAGAGATAAAGGCACACCCATTGAAACCTAAATTTATTATGTTATAACCTTTTGCTTTGCAGATGTCATACTGGTCTGGATAACACAGACTTGCCAATATACAACCCTCAACACTACACATACATGTACTGTAATAAGCACGTCCCTCACAATAACAACATAAGATGCCAATATGTACAGGTCCTGTTTGCATATGCAGCATCTGACTTTTGTCAGATGGAATTTGAGTCTGTGGAGAGATGATGTGTGGCAGAACAGATTGTTCAATTGTTCACATTTTTTTTCTCAAAAATGTAAATTATGTCACTTTTATGGACTACATTTATATTGCTTTTTGGTGTTTTTCGGAGCTTGATAGATGTGGCCACTGTGAACTGTTGTGATATGTAAAAAGCCTCATTAAGATCCATTCAGTTCTCCTTTATATATTCCACAGAAGAAATAACAGCAGTGAGTAATGTTAGAATAAAACATTTTGGGTGGTGAACTATTACTTGAAAATGGGCACTAAGATCCATTCCATTTATATAACTAGTTAAATTCTGTCACATAGAGTCTAATTCTTTATGGTTAGTACAAAATGTACAGTTTTGCTTATCCTATAAGTTTTCCACTTCCATATTTAGATATATTCTCTCAGAAGTGGACAGACCTAATCTGTCTTGATAAATGGACAAAGTTAATTAAAATCAAAAGATATGCTGAAATCTTAGGATCAGACTTTGTCCACGTTAAATAGGAAATGAGAGCTAAGGAAATTAATCTTCTGCAGAAGTGATAATGTTGGCCAGTGTTGCTGTCACATAATAAGGAAGTGGATTTGTCTATATTCTGCTTGAATAATCAGATTAAGTTTCTTGTTGCTGACATTAAAGTTTGTGTTTTTGTTTTTGGCAGATCATTATGATAGTTCCTCAGGATCACTTCAGCATATTTCTATAAAACCAATTGCAGCTCAACCCACCTACTCGCGCCCTGCATCCTCCGACCGCAGCCAGGACTCTGCTGTATTCAATGGAGAGGTAAGACTTGATTTTATTAGAGACAGCTTCAGATGGCAACCACTGACCAAAGTCCTTTTACTGACCTTCTGATGCATTTTACATCACATTATTCATTTCATATTCATCACATTTACATTTACATTATAAAAAAGGGCACTGATGGCTGCAAAATTGCCACTTCCATGATAATTGGCTGACTGTTATGCAACTTCTGAAAAATTAGGGTGCACAGGTTTTATACAGTTTTATACAGCAAGGAAACAAAGTTATGTCTACAGGCTACCAGGCTGCTTGGATGCTTTTGCAAGGAGATAGACAGACAGACATATATATATATATATATATATATATATATATATATATATATATATATACAGAGAAAAAGACAGATAGATAGATAGATAGATAGATAGATAGATAGATAGACAAATGATCAAAAGATAGATAGACAGATAGATAGATAGACAGACAGACAGACAGACAAATGATAGACACACAGACAGATAGATAGATAGATAGATAGACAGACAGCCAGATAGAATACAGGTGAATTTGGCTCTGAAACAGAAGTCAGACATTGAGCACTACAGGAATAAGCTTAGACTGAAGGCCAAAAGGAAGGGATATTATGACATTATGACTTCTGAGCGGAAAGGTAGCACTAAAGACCTAAGTCAGCGACACAAGTACAGCCACGACAGGCCTCCACACCCCCACACCCACGCTCAGGAACCGGAAGACGACAGGGGCTCCACATATGTGAAGTATCGCAGGAGGTAAGGGATTCTGCTGGAATGTAAATTAGTGTTTAACAAGATATGGTTGTTTCTGTGTACTGTATGCATACTTTAATACTTGTGACACTGTCTCAGATTTATTGATCTGCACAAATTATACCTGATAATGAAGGTTGTAGTGTCATTTGTTAGTTTACAATGGTCCCAAAATTGTTTAGATGCTTAAGACACATTTAAAAATGACTGAATATCTTTACATTAGATAAAATATCAGAACATTAATTACTTAATAATACAATTCAAAAAAGGATATTTGAAATCCAAACATCCAAATCACATTGACACCAGTTAGTTGTTTACCTTAAGTAAGCAAAGCAACAAAGACAAAGAGTGCATCTCAATCAGCTCCCTAGTTCCCGGGCTTGTGAATCAGTATATTGTGTACATCTATTTGGGCACTTATAACAACCATGCATGGCTCACTATACATTGGGACAGTTGTTGTGGTTGCTAACCAGTTCTTCGTTGTTATTATCTGTTGTAGTAATACTGTCGTGAAGTCATGCTGATGTGCATGCTATACAGTTGTACCGTATTCCGTTGCTGTTGCCGCTGAAGTTCCTTGAGTAAACTAGCATTCACCCGAAGCTTTGTTTTTATGTGTTTTTGTTGAACATAACAACAGTGATTACTCAATTTCCGGTGACATAATTATGTACAACATCAATGTACAATATTGAACGTCACCACTGATTTTAATCAGCAACAGGACCCATATCTTTTTGATATAAATGTCAACTAGATGTGTTCACTACCTGTCTAGTGATGTGTGCTTAAGCCAAAATATAATACTAATTAAAAAAGTTTGGGTTACACTTTATTTCGATAGTCCACATTTAGACATTCTACTAACTATAAGTAACTTTGTAACTACATGTCAACAAATTCTAATTAATTTGCAACTACATGTCTACTAACTCTCAGAGTAGACTGTTAGGGTAGGTTTAGGGTTAGTAGAATAAGTTGACATATACTTGCAAAGTTTCTGATAGTCAGTATGTTGTATGTTGTTGACCCATCAAAATAAAGTGTTAGAAGATATTAAGCAGACAGTCTACTAATACTCTAATGACTGCTAGTTGACATGTAGTTGCAAAGTTACTTACTGTTAGTAAAATGTCTACAGTGGACTATCGAAATAAAGTGTTACCAAAGTTAGTTTTTTTGAATATGCTATCACGTGTTACTATATTGATTTAGTTGGCTTGTGTGTGTTGTGTTTCATGCTTCAGAAATGTGATGTAATTTCCAGTAACTGATGCACTCGATGCACTCTTGCGGTGCATTGTGAGATTTTTCAGGGAGCGAATCTTTCAATGCATCAGAATAATTTTGTGATTGAGACAGCCCTTAAAATGGCCCACTTGATCCTAATCAGAGCCTAGACTACTGAACTACGGAGCTGATTGAGACTCATACTCTTTATCAGAATTGCCAGGTATAAGTCACAAGACCATACCTGGTATGCCAATTGGTAGTAAACCTAGCCCAGTCACAGCCAAAACTAATCTAATCACATTCTGGGGGGAAATTATTATTAAAATAACTCCTTTCAGGGGCTTCCATTTTTATCTAAATCACGTTCCTGGAGGGAGGGGTTTTTGCTTCAACCCGCAGCAGCAATATAAAAGTAGACCAATTCCGTGGGAAAACCGCTGACTTGGCAACACTCCTCTTCTCAGCGTAAGCAAAAGATCCACTCTTCATCAAAATGGTAACCCACTTTAGTTGAAACAGTTCTAATTGCACAAGCGTAATTGAACATTAAACACTATAGTCTCTCCCTTTTCTCATCTTGCTCAAAAACACACCAAAAATAATACAAATGTGTAATGTTTACTACTATACACATGCTATTATTACAAGCCGGTCTTAAAGTTTAAATTATCATTTGAAATGGCTTTAACAATTTATATCGACTGAAATAAGTTGCACTGTGTGGATGGCTTTCTCTAACACAGGAACATTTGGCAAATGACAAATATAATCAATATGCAGTGAGCTTTGTCGACTAGCTGTTAGCAATCATGAGCCTTGATGATGAAAACACTGTGTGCTCAGAAATGTCTGTTGTTCTTTTCCCAGGAGTTCAGAAGTAGACACAAAAGCCGCTGTCACAGACATGACTGGATCAGATATCCAGTACAGCTTCTGCCCAGTCTCATTAGCTGACCGAAATGCCCTCGCTTTGGAGTTTTGTCTCAGTTTAAATATTTAATTTCCTTTTTGGATCCATTGGCACTCTGTCAAATCTTGTGTAATTTGCTGCCATTGGACAAAGAAGGAGAGCGTATCTTTCTGCTGCTTTCAGCTTTCCGTTTGATTAAGCTGCAGTTGCCGGAGTCCTCTGGAACGGCTTAAAATCTAATCCCAATGATTTGTTCTGATGCCCTTGGAAAATAAATTGATATGATAGGCATTCGGGAAAGTTGTTTAACAGCCTATGAGAAAAACAAAGAGTCCCACAGTGGTATCTTAATTATTTGTGTAATATTGACTGATATTTACACCATGATGGCCTAAACAGCTACAATGGTTTAAACATAATGTTTTTAACAAGTACAATAATTAATATGCAACAGATATATTACAAAAAACTAGTCTATTGTTTATTAATGTAGTCTTTTAACAGTGTTGTAGTTTGGTTAACTGCGAGGTGCCAGAAGCTTGTGCCAAAAAAAAATATCTATTAATTTATTTTAAAAAGTCAACCCCTCTGAAAGTCATTCGGACACTGATGATTTAAATCTATCTTACTGAGCATTTTGAAAGGTTATTTAAAGGGGTCATATGATGTTGCTAAAAAGAACATTATTATATATATATATATATATATATAAAAGCATATTTCAATGGGTACTCTTGCTTAATTTAGTCAAATTTGGGCTTCAAAGAGACCTGGCAAAGGATTTTTTTTAGAATATCACTTTACCTGTGGGAAATCAATTTGAGCGACATTTTTAATGCATGCAATTTTTTTTTAGTGAATGATTGACCAATCCCCATTCTCTTTCTCTCTATGTGTATACAGGTGAATTTGGCTCTATTTCAATGGGTACTCTTGCTTAATTTAGTCAAATTTGGGCTTCAAAGAGACCTGGCAAAGGATTTTTTTTAGAATATCACTTTACCTGTGGGAAATCAATTTGAGCGACATTTTTAATGCATGCAATTTTTTTTTAGTGAATGATTGACCAATCCCCATTCTCTTTCTCTCTATGTGTATACAGGTGAATTTGGCTCTGAAACAGAAGTCAGACATTGAGCACTACAGGAATAAGCTTAGACTGAAGGCCAAAAGGAAGGGATATTATGACTTCCCTTCTGCTGAGCGGAAAGGTAGCACTAAAGACCTAAGTCAGCGACACAAGTACAGCCACGACAGGCCTCCACACCCACAGAACAGAGCTCAGGAACTGGAGGACGACAGGGGATCCACGTATGTAAAATATCACAGGAGGTAAGGGATTTAGCTTGAATTGAAATGTGTGTTTAACAAGATATGGTTGTTTTTATGCATGCTTTAATGCTTATTGTGACACTGTCTCTCAGATTTATTGATCTGCACAAATTATACCTGATGATGAAGGTCATTGTGTCATTTGTTAATCTATTAACCTGCTATGGTCCCAAAAGTGTTTGGGTACTTAAGACTACTTAAAAATGACTGAATATCTTTACATTAGATAAAATATCAGCTAATTAATTAATTAATAATACAATTCAAAAAAGGATGTTTGTAATGTGTTTCGTGCTTCAGAAATGTGATGTAACTGAACATCAATGCACTCTGGTGTTTGTGGAGCATTGTGGGATTTTTCAGGGAGCGAACCTTTCAATGCACCGGAAGAATTTTGTGATTGAGACAGCCCTTAAAATGGCCAACTTGACAGCAGTTAGTTAAAGTTAAAGTATCCCAATTCCGTGGGAAAACCGCTGACTTGGCAACACTCCTCTTCTCAGCCTAAGCAAAAGCTCCGCTCTTGATCACCATGGTAACCCAGGTTAATTGAAATAGCTCACAAATATAATTGAACATTAAACACTATCAAGTCTCCCCCTTTTCTCATCTTGTTCAAAAACACACCAAAAATAATACTAATGTGTAATGTGTTCTACTATGCTATTATAAGCCAGTCTTAAAGTTTAAATTATCATCTGAAATTTGAAATGGCTTTAACAATTTATATTGCCTCAACTAAATAATATACATAAGTTGTACTATGTGGTTGGCTTTCTCTAAAACAGGGACATTTGGCAAATGACGGGTATAATCAATATGCAGTGAGCTTTGTCGACTAGCTGTTAGCAATCATGAACCTTGATGATGAAAACACTGTGTGCTCAGAAATGTCTGTTGTTCTTTCCCCAGGAGTTCAGAAGTAGACACAAAAGCTGCTGTCACAGACATGACTGGATCAGATATCCAGTACATCCTTTGCCCGGTCTCATTAGCTGACCGAAATGCCCTTGCTTTGGAGTTTTGTCTCAGTTTAAATATTTAATTTCCTTTTTGGATCCATTGGCACTCTGTGAAATCTTGTGTGATTTTCTGCTCATTGTTTAAAGAAGGAGAGCGTATCTTTCTGCGGCTTTCATCTTTCCATTTGATTAAGCCTCAGTTACTGGAGACTACTGGCATGGCTTAAAATCTAACCCCAGTGATTTGTTCAGATGCCTTGGAGAAGAAATTCTCTTGGTTTTAATGTGAAGGCCTTTGGGAAAGTTGTTTCACTTAAAGCCCATGAGAAAAGCAAAGTGTCCCACAGTGGTATCTTTAGCTTTCATTTTCATTTGCTGACACTTCTCCACAGTGCAAAAAATAAATAAAAATCAAATTAGTATTTGTGTAATATTGACTGATATTTACATAATAGCTTTAACAAGTACAATGGCACAAGTACAATCATTATCACTTCATTAGTTTTTTGTGATATATCTGTCACATATTAGTGTATTGTTTATTAATGTAGTCTTTTAACAACATTGTACAGTAGTTTGGTTAACTGTGATGTGCCAACATTTCTATTAATTCTATTCTATTCTATTTTCACTCAAAATTATCTATCAATTTCTTTTAAAAAGTCAACCCCTCTGAAAGAACACTGATGATTTATATCAGTCTTACTGAGCATTTTGAAAGGTCCTTTAAGGTGCTTTATGCATTTTTAAAACTGCTAACGACACTTATTGAAACTTTGACATCTCCAGTGACCCCTTATAGTAAAGCGTGTTATTTTTTGTGTGTTTTCTGTGTGAAAGTGCTAACCACTGCTTTACTGTGATCTGCTGTCTAACTGGTGCTTTACTATGATCTGCTGTCTAAGCTTTGACGCAGGACTCAGAATGATGAAATATGATGAAGTTGCCTTCACAGCGGCTCAATCTTTGTACTTATTAAAGTATTTCTTATCAACTCCCAGATGACTTTTCTCAGAGCAGAGTTTTTCCGTTTACTGTGAAGATCTTAAAAATGTATCTGTTGTAATGTTTGAAATTTTTTTTTTGTTAGAAAAATTTCATATGTTATGTCATTGTAAATCCATCACACTACAGCTGCATTATCTGGTCAAAGATGTCATGCGATTGATGTTGCGATGACAGGTTTAACTGCGATATGATAAAAAATTAAAGCAAAAATAGATTAAGACACCAACTCTTGGGCAGTATTCTGAGGACCCGTGCCATATCTTGACACCAGAGCATCATGGAGACATGGCGCTGACTGTTTTGTCAGTTTGTTTTATTAAACAATAAATAGTTATTTATATATTCTCTAAACAATGTATAGTTCTGTCATAATGTCTCCACCTTCATGTTTTTTTATTATTTATTTTTTAATCAGAACTAAACCTATATACTTAACACGTTCATGGTCTTACTGTGAATTGATTATCATTTATTTTATTCAAAAAAAAATAATTCTTCATAATCTAAAATGTAATCAAAATGTAACTTACTCTTTCTCTGAAACAGTGTTCCTTTTCTGATGACTGCATATGCAGCATGGAGGAATATACTCATTCTAGAGTGCAGCACAATAAATTACTTATATTGCCATAATCTATTTCAGTGAACATGGCAGACTCGTTGGCTAAATTACTGCAGATCCTCGTACTGATGCTTTAAAAAGGATTGTTTTATGTGGTGCGCTTCACCACATCTCTTGTACAAGTACTTCACGTCTCACATTTGATGCACAAAAAGGAACAAAGAAAAAAACTGTGCCTGAAACCTGTATACCTTTTAAGGAAACCATCCTAAGGATTTTAGATCAGCTTCAGCATCTAATGATCCAGCTTATGGAATTCCAGTAGATGCCACAATTCCCCTAGGCCACTGATCTATATAATGACTGGATTGCTCATTATCTGCAATGTGGTCTTTTCGGGCTGGATAAGTGATATATTGAAATCGTTAAGATGGGTGTGTCAGCTGCGCACTTGCTGGCACAGGTAACTGATCCAACACAAAATAAATTTCTTTATGTACGTAATTATGCACAAAATAATAAACATGAACATATAGCTGGTATTAGTTTCAGAAATATATTCAAATTTACAATAAATATTACAATACAAGCCTCTGCTACTGTATTGCTCTATATTGTATTGAAATTCAAAGCTTACCATGCGTCATCTTGGAAATAAAGCTTCATGTCATTAAGTCCATACCGTATGTTGTCAGTGTTATTTCTTTGAATGATGTTATAAAGCATGTATTTTTCTTCCTGATTGAGCAACATCTATTTCAGACTCTACAAGATTGCGCAAATGGTGTTTTACTAACATTACAATTTCAATAGAAATGAGCAAATTCATTGTTGAAACATTTACATTTATCATACCGTATGAATAAAAACAAACATAATTACATTGTTGTTATGTTATGCACAACAGTGAATATGCTAACTGTAAAAGGTGAATTAAGGTATATGCGCATACAAAACATACATTTTTATTCAGATTTCAGGAAGAGCATTTGTAATATATATGTTGAGGATCTTATCCGTCTGATGTTCATCATGTTCATCTGATGTTCACTACTGTAATGAATGTGATAAGTAACTTTTCAATATGGAGAAATTCCCGACATTAAACAAATGACTATTGTCATTTGCGTTGTAAGAATGTACAGGGATACTTCAGATATAAAAACACTTACTCGTTAGGTGATGTTTTCTCATTAAAATAATACAATTTCCTATTAATTCAATAAAATGTGTCGGAATACTCTGGAATACTCGGGAATACCAATATAGCGGCGCTGTGACTTCTCTTTTATGACGTGATGAGCAATCCAGTTCTCTATTACAGATTAGTGCCTTAGATTTACAATGGCAGAATGCTCAAATGGGCCAAGACTCCTCTAACTCACACAAAATTTTGTCTAGCTGCATGCTAGTACCATACTAATGCATGGCACGCAGTACACATAATTTCGTTACGTACGTATGTTCCCTATCTCTCCGGTTGTGTCGCTGATGTTTGTGGGGAACGCATCCAATAGTGCTATGCTATGAGCAGATGCAGAATGAAGCCTTCTCTGTGAGACCAGCCCCAGAACACTTGTGTTGAGGACTCCTATAAGCATGAGCCAAGATGAGCCATTAGGCTGAGGACCACAAGATATAGCCTTTTCCATATACAAAAGGGAAAACGGGGCAGAATTAAGATGACAAAATACGTGCCTGGGATGTCCAAGTTACAGAATCTGGTAAAGGCACCAAAATAAACCACGCCCAGGAGGAGGCCATTCCTCTGGTGGACTGGGTCCTCACACCTATTGGGCACTGCAAGCCAACTGAGGCATAAGCCTATGCTATAGCATCAGCTGTCCAGTGAGATTGTAGTAACTGGCAGCCCTTTAGAGCGGCCTCCGAAGCACACAAAGAGCTGCTCTGAGTGTCTGAACAGACCAGAACACTCAACATACAGAACACACTCTGAGGGCCCGGACTGGGCAGAGTGGATTGGGACCCTGCTCACCATCTGCAGCAGGGAGTGCTAGAAGGGTGATAACCTGGGCTCTAAATGGAGTGCAGAGCACCTTAGATACTTAACCGTGTCTCCGTTTGAGGACGACCTTATAGTCATTAGGCCCAATCTCAAAACAGGAAGCACTGACTGACAGTGCCTGCAAGTCACCCACTCACTTGACCGACCAAGAGGAGGGTGGTCTTAAGCGACATGGGCTGCAATTTGGCCGAATGGAGTGGATCAAATGGAGGGCCCTGTAGGGCCCTTAGGACTATGGATAAATCCCAAGTCAGCACTGTATGAGGACGAGGCGGGTTCAATCTCCAAGCTCCCCTAAGGAATTTAACGACCAGATCATTTCTGTTGATTGAATGGCCAGCTTCACGTCTGATTCATCCAGAGTGGGGCCAACAGGAGGACTGAGCATTTAACTTCCCTGACCTGTCTGATAACCTGAGGAAGCAGGGAAATTGGGGGGGAAGGCATACAGGTGAGCGCTGGGCCAATCGTGGACCAAGGCATCTCGCTGTTTCAAGAAATAAATTGGGCAGTGAGTTGTCTTCTGAGGCAAAGAGGTCCACCTCTGCCCTCTCGAAGATGGACCAAATCATTTGAACCACTGGAGGAAGTAGCCTCCATTTTCCTGGAGCTACATTGCCTCTGG